AAGGCCGCCTGGTTTACTTCCCTTTCTCCTAGCACAGTGACCTCAACTGGTTCTGTTGTGAAGACCTCTTGGAACCTCTTGTTGAGTTCATCACACACCTCTTTGTCATTCTCTGTATACCTGTTTCGCCTGTTCTAAGTTTCACTACCTGTTCTTTCACTGTTGTTTTCCTTCTGATATGACTGTGGAGTAGCTTTGGTTCGGTCTTGGCTTTGTTTGCTATATCATTTTCATAACTTTTCTCTGCTTCTCTTCTCACCCTGACATACTCATTCCTGGTTCTCTGGTATCTCTCTCTGCTTTCTGGTGTTCTGTTATTCCGGAAGTTCCTCCACGCCCTTTTGATTTCAGTCCCTTTGCTTCCATACATGCCCTATTATACCATGGATTCTTCTTTTGCTTCTCGGATTTTTCCTTTTGGGCCGGGATGAACCTGTTTACAGCCTCCTGACACTTTTGGGTAACATGGTCCATCATATCTTATACAGACTTAGCTCTGAGGACTGTGTCCCAAGGTATTTCACTTAGGAAGCTTCTCATCTCATAATTTCCCTTTCGGTATGCCAGCCTTTTGTTTCCTAGTTCTTTTTTGGGGGGGGGGATAATTCCTAGCTCTACCAGGTACTCAAAGTTCAATACACTGTGGTCACTCATTCCCAAGGGGGCTTCCAACTTGACTTCTCTTATATCCGACTCATTTAGGGTAAATATCAGATCAAGCAAGGCTGGTTCATCCTCTCCTCTCATTCTTGTTGGATCCTTGATGTGCTGTGTGTGTGTGTGCTTTGATTATTTATTTCCAGGTTATTAACATGTATAATTCATATAAACTTAATGATATATATTTGCTGCTCATAAATTATCTTTTTCCATGTAGGGGGCCTGACAGCTAGGTGGACAGCGCTTCGGATTCGCAGTCCTGAGGTTCCGAGTTCGATCCCCGGTGGAGGTGGAAACAAATGGGCAGAGTTGATTTCACCCTGATGGCCCTGTTACCTAGCAGTAAATAGGTACCTGGGAGCTAAACAGCTGCTACGGGCTGCTTCCTGGGGGTGTGTAACAAAAAATAGGCCTGGTCGAGAACCGGGCCGCGGGGACGCTTAGCCCCGAAATCATCTCGGGATAACCTCAAGATGTGAATTATTTTGCATTATTGTATTACTATTATAAGACAATATCCCTCACACTTAGTTGCTAAGACTACTAACAGGACTCTATCCAGCACAAACATGCCGTACAGTAGCGTACACAAACATGCCGTACAGTAACGTACACAAACATGCCGTACAGTAACGTACACAAACATGCCGTACAGTAACGTACACAAACATGCCGTACAGTAACGCACAAACATGCCGTACAGTAGCGTACACAAACATGCCGTACAGTAACGTACACAAACATGCCGTACAGTAGCGTACACAAACATGCCGTACAGTAACGTGCACAAACATGCCGTACAGTAGCGTACACAAACATGCCGTACAGTAACGTACACAAACATGCCGTACACAAACAGTAGTAACGTACACAAACATGCCGTACAGTAACGTACACAAACATGCCGTACAGTAGCGTACACAAACATGCCGTACAGTAACGTACACAAACATGCCGTACAGTAACGTACACAAACATGCCGTACAGTAACGTACACAAACATGCCGTACAGTAACGTACACAAACATGCCGTACCGTACACAAACATGCCGTACAGTAGCGTACACAAACATGCCGTACAGTAACGTAACGTACACAAACATGCCGTACAGTAACGTACACAAACATGCCGTACAGTAACGTAACGTACACAAACATGCCGTACAGTAACGTACACAAACATGCCGTACAGTATGCCGTACGTACACAAACATGCCGTACAGTAACGTACACAAACATGCCGTACAGTAACGTACACAAACATGCCGTACAGTAACGTACAGTAACGTACACAAACATGCCGTACAGTAACGTACACAAAAACATGCCGTACAGTAACGTACACAAACATGCCGTACAGTAACGTACACAAACATGCCGTACAGTAACGTACACAAACATGCCGTACAGTAACGTACACAAACATGCCGTACAGTAACGTACACAAACATGCCGTACAGTAACGTACGTACACAAACATGCCGTACACAGTAACGTACACAAACATGCCGTACAGTAACGTACACAAACATGCCGTACGTAACACAAACATGCCGTACAGTAACGTACACAAACATGCCGTACAGTAACGTACACAAACATGCCGTACAGTAACGTAACGTACACAAACATGCCGTACAGTAACGTACACAAACATGCCGTACAGTAACGTACACAAACATGCCGTACAGTAACGTACACAAACATGCCGTACAGTAACGTACACAAACATGCCGTACAGTAGCGTACACAAACATGCCGTACAGTAACGTACACAAACATGCCGTACAGTAACGTACACAAACATGCCGTACAGTAACGTACACAAACATGCCGTACAGTAACGTACACAAACATGCCGTACAGTAACGTACACAAACATGCCGTACAGTAACGTGCACAAACATGCCGTACAGTAACGTACACAAACATGCCGTACAGTAACGTGCACAAACATGCCGTACAGTAACGTACACAAACATGCCGTACAGTAACGTACACAAACATGCCGTACAGTAACGTACACAAACATGCCGTACAGTAACGTACACAAACATGCCGTACAGTAACGTACACAAACATGCCGTACAGTAACGTACACAAACATGCCGTACAGTAACGTACACAAACATGCCGTACAGTAACGTACACAAACATGCCGTACAGTAACGTACACAAACATGCCGTACAGTAACGTACACAAACATGCCGTACAGTAACGTACACAAACATGCCGTACAGTAACGTACACAAACATGCCGTACAGTAACGTACACAAACATGCCGTACAGTAGCGTACACAAACATGCCGTACAGTAGCGTACACAAACATGCCGTACAGTAACGTACACAAACATGCCGTACAGTAGCGTACACAAACATGCCGTACAGTAGCGTACACAAACATGCCGTACAGTAGCGTACACAAACATGCCGTACAGTAGCGTACACAAACATGCCGTACAGTAACGTACACAAACATGCCGTACAGTAACGTACACAAACATGCCGTACAGTAACGTACACAAACATGCCGTACAGTAGCGTACACAAACATGCCGTACAGTAGCGTACACAAACATGCCGTACAGTAGCGTACACAAACATGCCGTACAGTAGCGTACACAAACATGCCGTACAGTAACGTACACAAACATGCCGTACAGTAGCGTACACAAACATGCCGTACAGTAGCGTACACAAACATGCCGTACAGTAGCGTACACAAACATGCCGTACAGTAGCGTACACAAACATGCCGTACAGTAACGTACACAAACATGCCGTACCGTACACAAACAGTAACGTACACAAACATGCCGTACAGTAACGTACACAAACAACGTACACAAACATGCCGTACAGTAACGTACACAAACATGCCGTACAGTAACGTACACAAACATGCCGTACAGTAACGTACACAAAATGCCGTACACGTACACAAACATGCCGTACAGTAACGTACACAAACATGCCGTACAGTAACGTACACAAACATGCCGTACAGTAACGTACACAAACATGCCGTACAGTAACGTACACAAACATGCCGTACAGTAACGTACACAAACATGCCGTACAGTAACGTACACAAACATGCCGTACAGTAACGTACACAAACATGCCGTACAGTAACGTACACAAACATGCCGTACAGTAACGTACGTACACAAACATGCAGTAACGTACAGTAACGTACACAAACATGCCGTACAGTAACGTACACAAACATGTCGTACAGTAACGTACACAAACATGCCGTACAGTAACGTACACAAACATGCCGTACAGTAACGTACACAAACATGCCGTACAGTAACGTACACAAACATGCCGTACAGTAACGTACACAAACATGTCGTACAGTAACGTACACAAACATGCCGTACAGTAACGTACACAAACATGCCATACAGTAGTAACGTACACAAACATGCCATACAGTAACGTACACAAACATGCGTACAGTAAACATGTAACGTACACAAACATGCCGTACAGTAACGTACACAAACATGCCGTACAGTAACGTACACAAACATGCCATACAGTAGCGTACACAAACATGCCATACAGTAACGTACACAAACATGCCGTACAGTAACGTACACAAACATGCCATACAGTAACGTACACAAACATGCCGTACAGTAGCGTACACAAACATGCCGTACAGTAACGTACACAAACATGCCGTACAGTAGCGTACACAAACATGCCGTACAGTAACGTACACAAACATGCCGTACAGTAGCGTACACAAACATGCCGTACAGTAACGTACACAAACATGCCGTACAGTAACGTACACAAACATGCCGTACAGTAACGTACACAAACATGCCGTACGGTAACGTACCCACACGCAACATAACAATAGCCAAATATCCCCAGTTTGCTAACTGTAGGTAGTAACTAAGTGACTGTAACCTATCCACCGCTGCCCACTGGATGGGGGGCGGTGTGCAGGACAAACATATCAATTGAGACACTAGCTCTCCACATATGTCAGTTGCTTACTTTAGAAACTGTACTTGTGGTCGGTCTCTAACAGTCAACCCATTGTTGATGTGACGATGTGCATGGAATTTTGTAACCAGCTCATCAAGACTGTAACTTGCTCAGCTAAATGAATTGTGGGAATTTAAATATGAGAGCCCATTATGTGCCTCTAACCTTTCCACGTCCATAAACAGGATTCTTATGGGGTGCATATATGTAAATTATGGATTATTTTTTTCGCAATTTAATTGTATATACAATATTTTTATGAAGAATAATTATAATTATTTGTATTTTATAGTAAATACGAAAAAATGTGACAAAGTTGGTCTTACCTTCATCTCAGATCCTTCAATGTCCAAGGAGAAAAAATCAATTTGCGTCACGTTGAGCGCCAACAAGATGGAGTAGAAAGGGAGAGCCTTGGTTTTATAGGTAAGGCTGCTGTTCTTACTGATTTGACCTAGAACTCCTTTTTCTCCAGTGGATCTATGAACATAGAAAATAGGGAAATATCAGCATCTGAAATATCGTTTTCCATGTCGAGTAGATATATACACATATGAATAAATTTTGCATTTCAGCAGTTCTTCAGCAAGCTGTAGTAAGGCACACCATTATCCGGGCTGTAGGCACAAGAAGAGCACGCTTCCACATACGTTTTTAACAGTTATATATATATATATATATATATATATATATATATATATATATATATATATATATATATATGCGAACAAGCCTGAATGGTCCCCAGGACTATATGCGAATGAAAACTCACACCCCAGAAGTGACTCGAACCCATACTCCCAGAAGCAACGCAACTGGTAACTACAGGGCGCCTTAATCCACTTGACCATCACGGCCGTCAAAAGGAAGTGATAGCCGAGGCTATATGAGCCACTTCCCCGACGGCAACTCGGATGGTAATCTTGGGCATAGCATTTCACCAAATCACCTCATTCTTTGGGGCACACGTGAGGAACACAAATGCGAACAAGCCTGAATGGTCCCCAGGACTATATGCGAATGAAAACTCACACCCCAGAAGTGACTCGAACCCATACTCCCAGAAGCAACGCAACTGGTAACTACAGGGCGCCTTAATCCACTTGACCATCACGGCCGTCAAAAGGAAGTGATAGCCGAGGCTATATGAGCCACTTCCCCGACGGCAACTCGGATGGTAATCTTGGGCATAGCATTTCACCAAATCACCTCATTCTTTGGGGCACACGTGAGGAACACAAATGCGAACAAGCCTGAATGGTCCCCAGGACTATATGCGAATGAAAACTCACACCCCAGAAGTGACTCGAACCCATACTCCCAGAAGCAACGCAACTGGTAACTACAGGGCGCCTTAATCCACTTGACCATCACGGCCGTCAAAAGGAAGTGATAGCCGAGGCTATATGAGCCACTTCCCCGACGGCAACTCGGATGGTAATCTTGGGCATAGCATTTCACCAAATCACCTCATTCTTTGGGGCACACGTGAGGAACACAAATGCGAACAAGCCTGAATGGTCCCCAGGACTATATGCGAATGGCTATCACTTCCTTTTGACGGCCGTGATGGTCAAGTGGATTAAGGCGCCCTGTAGTTACCAGTTGCGTTGCTTCTGGGAGTATGGGTTCGAGTCACTTCTGGGGTGTGAGTTTTCAGTTATACATATATATATATATATATATATATATATATATATATATATATATATATATATATATATATATATATATATATATATATATATATATATATATATATATATATATATATATATTTATTATTAAATATGACCGAAAAAGTAAGATTAATAATTCTAACACGAATTTTCTCGATCTTTCTTACATTTCTTTTCACTGTTGATGGTAATTCAAAGATCAATTCTCCAAAATTCATTTTTATTTCTAGTCTGACGAGACACTTGAGCGCGTTTCGTAAAACTTATTACATTTCAAAGACTTTAGTTTACAAACACACAACTGAAACTGAATAGAGCTTACACATCTTCGATTTTATATCTACATTTGGGTGAGATGGATGAGGTGAAAACAAACTTTCAACAATGGGTATTGAATGGGTATTAAATTCAAACACAAGACAGAACACGAAACAATGGGTATTGAATGGAAGTAATTGTAGAAAGCCTATTGGTCCATATTTCTTGATGCTTCTATATTGGAGCGGAGTCTTGAAGTGGGTAGAATATAGTTGTGCATTAATTGGCTGTTGATTGCTGCTGTTGATTTCTTGATGTGTAGTGCCTCGCAGACGTCGAGCCGCCTGCTATCGCTGTATCTATCAATGATTTCTGTGTTGTTTGCTAAGATTTCTCTGGTGATGGTTTGGTTGTGGGAAGAGGCTATATGTTCCTTAATGGAGCCCTGTTGCTTATGCATCGTTAAACGCCTGGAAAGAGATGTTGTTGTCTTGCCTATATACTGAGTTTATTGAGGCTTACAATCCCCAAGAGGGCATTTGAAGGCATAGACGACGTTGGTCTCTTTTAAAGCGTTCTGCTTTGTGTCTGGAGAGTTTCTCATGAGTAGGCTGGCCGTTTTTTTGGTTTTATAGTAAATTGTCAGTTGTATCTTCTGATTTTTGTCTGTAGGGATAACGTTTCTATTAACAATATCTTTCAGGACCCTTTCCTCCGTTTTATGGGCTGTGGAAAAGAAGTTCCTGTAAAATAGTCTAATAGGGGGTATAGGTGTTGTGTTAGTTGTTTCTTCAGAGGTTGCATGGCTTTTCACTTTCCTTCTTATGATGTCTTCGACGAAACCATTGGAGAAGCCGTTGTTGACTAGGACCTGCCTTAGCCTACAGAGTTCTTCGTCGACTTGCCTCCATTCTGAGCTGTGGCTGAGAGCACGGTCGACATAAGCGTTAACAACACTCCTCTTGTACCTGTCTGGGCAGTCGCTGTTGGCATTCAGGCACATTCCTATGTTTGTTTCCTTAGTGTAGACTGCAGTGTGGAAAACTCCGCTCCTTTCCATGACTGTTACATCTAGAAAGGGCAGCTTCCCATCCTTCTCCATCTCGTAAGTGAAACGCAACACAGAATTCTGCTCAAATGCCTCCTTCAGCTCCTGCAGATGTCTGACATCAGGTACCTGTGTAAAAATGTCGTCAACATACTTGCAGTATATGGCCGGTTTCATATTCATGTCGACTAAGACTTTTTGCTCGATGGTACCCATGTAGAAGTTTGCAAACAGGACACCTAGGGGAGAACCCATGGCGACCCCATCTACTTGCTTATACATGTGCCCATCCGGGCTCAAGAAGGGTGCCTCTTTAGTACAAGCTTGGAGTAGTTTCCTTAGAATATTTTCTGGTATGTCAAGAGGAGTACAGGCTGGATCACGATACACTCTGTCGGCTATCATCCCGATTGTCTCGTCCACAGGTACGTTGGTAAACAGTGATTCTACGTCCAACGAGGCTCTAATCCCTGTGGCCCGTGTGCCCCGCAGTAAGTCAACAAATTCCTTTGGAGACTTCAGGCTGAAGGCGCAACGGACATAAGGAGTCAGCAGGCCATTGAGTCGCTTCGCCAGTCTGTACGTGGGTGTGGGTATCTGGCTAATGATTGGCCGAAGTGGGTTTCCAGGCTTGTGTGTCTTGACATTTCCATACGCATATCCAGGTTTATATTCCCCAATAATCTTTGGCAGGTGGAGTCCAGATTTCTTGGCGTTCACAGTCTCGATCAATTTGTTAACCTTTGCTTTCAGTTCGGCTGTAGTGTCCTTCGTTACCCTTTGGAATTTAGTTTGGTCAGAGAGTATGATGTTCATTTTCGCCAGATATTCGTCTTTTTTAAGAATGACGTATATTGGCGACTTGTCGCCTCTCCTGACAACTATCTCCTTGTTCTTACGAAGGCTCTTAGCTGCCGCTTTGAGCTCGGGGGACAAGAAATCTGGACTCCACCTGCCAAAGATTATTCGGGAATATAAACCTGGATATGCGTATGGAAATGTCAAGACACACAAGCCTGGAAACCCACTTCGGCCAATCATCAGCCAGATACCCACACCCACGTACAGACTGGTGAAACGATTCAACGGCTTGCTGACTCCTTATGTCCCTTGCGCCTTCAGCCTGAAGCCTCCAAAGGAATTTGTTGACTTGCTGCGGGGAACACGGGCCACAGGGATAACAGCCTCGTTGGACGTAGAATCTCTGTTTAACAACGTACCTGTGGATGAAACAATCGGGATGATAGCCGACAGAGTGTATCGTGATCCGGCCTGTACTCCTCCTGACATACCAGAAAACATTCTGAGGAAACTACTCCAAGTTTGTACTAAAGAAGCACCCTTCTTGAGCCCGGATGGACACATGTATAAGCAAGTAGATGGGGTCGCCATGGGTTCTCCCCTAGGTGTCCTGTTTGCAAACTTCTACATGGGTACCATCGAGCAAAAAGTCTTAGTCGACATGAACTTCAAACCGGCCATATACTGCAGGTATGTTGACGACATTTTTACACAGGTACCTGATGTCAGACATCTGCAGGAGCTGAAGGAGGCATTTGAGCAGAATTCTGTGTTGCGTTTCACTTATGAGATGGAGAAGGATGGGAAGCTGCCCTTTCTAGATGTAACAGTCATGGAAAGGAGCGGAGTTTTCCACACTGCAGTCTACACTAAAGAAACAAACATAGGAATGTGCCTGAATGCCAACAGTGACTGCCCAGACAGGTACAAGAGGAGTGTTGTTAACGCTTATGTCGACCGTGCCCTCTGCCACAGCTCAGAATGGAAGCAAGTCGACGAAGAACTCTGTAGGCTAAGGCAGGTCCTAGTCAACAACGGCTTCTCCAATGGTTTCGTGGAAGACATCATAAGAAGGAAAGTTAAACGCCATGCAACCTCTGAAGAGACAACTAACACAACACCTATACCCCCTATTAGACTATTTTACAGGAACTTCTTTTCCACAGCCCATAAAACGGAGGAAAGGGTCCTGAAGGATATTGTTAATAGAAACGTTATCCCTACAGACAAAAATCAGAAGATACAACTGACGATTTACTATAAAATCAGAAAAACAGCCAGCCTACTCATGAGATACTCTCCAGACACAAAGCAGAACGCTTTAAAAGAGACCAACGTCGTCTATGCCTTCGAATGCCCTCTTGGGGACTGTAAGCCTCAAAAAACCCAGTATATAGGCAAGACAACAACATGTCTTTCCAGGCGTTTAACGATACATAAGCAACAGGGCTCCATTAAGGAACATATAATCTCTTCCCACAAACAAACCATCACCAGAGAAATCTTAGCAAACAACACAGAAATCATCGATAGATACAGCGATAGCAGGCGGCTTGACGTCTGCGAGGCACTACACATCAAGAAGTCAACACCAGCAATCAACAGCCAATTAATGCACAACTATATTCTACCCACTTCGAGACTCCGCTCCAATATAGAAGCATCAAGGAATATGGACCAATAGGCTTTCTACAATTACTTCCATTCAATACCCATTGTTTCGTGTTCTGTCTTGTGTTTGAATTTAATACCCATTCAATACCCATTGTTGAAAATTTGTTTTCACCTCATCCACATGTAGATATAAAATCGAAGATGTGTAAGCTGTATTCAGTTTCAGTTGTGTGTTTGTAAACTAAAGTCTTTGAAATGTAATAAGTTTTACGAAACGCGCTCAAGTGTCTCGTCAGACTAGAAAAAAAAATGAATTTTGGAGAATTGATCTTTGAATTACCATCAACAGTGAAAAGAAACGTAAGAAAGATCGAGAAAATTCGTGTTAGAATTATTAATCTTACATTTTCGGTCATATTTAATAATATATGTCTACAGGAAAGACTGCTACCAAAAAATACTAATATATATATATATATATATATATATATATATATATATATATATATATATATATATATATATATATATATATATATATATATATATATATAAATCACACTTAAGAGCTCTGTGACACAACCAGGGTTCACCAACGATTGAATAGGCAGTGGCTGGTAGAGTGGTTATGGTGGCGTCTACACCAGGGGAAGAGCCTCGGTAATGCAGCTTCTAACCCTGGTCAGGTCTCATAGTTCTTATGTTATTATGTGACTGTTGATGGCTGGTTGATGACTGCAGTGTGACTCATATTGGGAAATTGTATCACCTTCTAGTTGATGAACACAACAAAGCTAATGAAATAAAATGAAGAAAGTGATTATGGAATGATAGCGATAAACTCTTTACATCAAATTGGTGTAAACTTATATTGTAAAATGTTAAAAAACAATTTAGACATCATTGTGAAATATTTAAAGTAATGATAAGAGAAAATCCTTCACACTCTACAGTTTGCTGGTAGAGTGTGATGCCCCTGTTACCCTGATGCCCCTGTTACCCTGATGCCCCTGTTACCCTGATGCCCCTGTTACCCTGATGCCCCTGTTACCCTGATGGCCCTGTTACCCTGATGCCCCTGTTACCTGTTACCCTGATGCCCCTGTTACCCTGATGCCCCTGTTACCCTGATGCCCCTGTTACCCTGATGCCCCTGTTACCCTGATGCCCCTGTTACCCTAATGCCCCTGTTACCCTGATGCCCCTGTTACCCTGATGCCCCTGTTACCCTGATGCCCCTGTTACCTGTTACCCTGATGCCCCTGTTACTCTGATGCCCCTGTTACCTGTTACCCTGATGCCCCTGTTACCCTGATGCCCCTGTTACCTGTTACCCTGATGCCCCTGTTACCCTGATGTCCCTGTTACCCTGATGCCCCTGTTACCTGTTACCCTGGTGCCCCTGTTACCCTGATGCCCCTGTTACCTGTTACCCTGATGCGCCTGTTACCCTGATGCCCCTGTTACCCTGATGCCCTGTTACCCTGATGTTACCCTGATGCCCCTGTTACCCTGATGCCCCTGTTACCCTGTTACCCTGATGCCCCCCTGTTACCCTGATGCCCCTGTTACCCTGTTACCCTGATGCCCCTGTTACCTGTTACCCCCCTGTTACCCTGATGCCCCCCTGTTACCCTGATGCCCCTGTTACCCTGATGCCCCTGTTACCCTGATGCCCCTGTTACCCTAATGCCCCTGTGCCCCCCTGTTACCCTGATGCCCCTGTTACCCTGATTACCCTGATGCCCCTGTTACCCTGATGCCCCTGTTACCCTGATGCCCCTGTTACCCTATGCCCCTGTTACCCTGATGCCCCTGTTACCCTGATGCCCCTGTTACCCTGATGCCCCTGTTACCTGTTACCCTGATGCCCCTGTTACCCTGATGCCCCTGTTACCCTGATGCCCCTGTTACCTGTTACCCTGATGCCCCTGTTACCCTGCCCCTGTTGCCCCTGATTACCTGTTACCCTGATGCCCCTGTTACCCTGATGCCCCTGTTACCTGATTACCCTGATGCCCCTGTTACCTGTTACCCTGATGCCCTGTTACCCTGATGCCTGTTACCCTGATGCCCCTGATGCCCCTGTTACCCTGATGCCCCTGTTTACCCTGTTACCCTGATGCCCCTGTTACCTGATGTTACCCTGTGCCCCTGTTGCCCCTGTTACCCTGATGCCCCTGTTACCTGTTACCCTGATGCGCCTGTTACTCTGATGCCCCTGTTACCCTGATGCCCCTGTTACCTGTTACCCTGATGCCCCTGTTACCCTGATGCCCCTGTTACCCTGATGCCCCTGTTACCCTGATGCCCCTGTTACCCTGATGCCCCTGTTACCTGTTACCCTGATGCCCCTGTTACCCTGATGCCCCTGTTACCTGTTACCCTGATGCCCCTGTTACCTGTTACCCTGATGCCCCTGTTACCCTGATGCCCCTGTTACCTGTTACCCTGATGCCCCTGTTACCCTGATGCCCCTGTTACCCTGATGCCCCTGTTACCTGTTACCCTGATACCCCTGTTACCCTGATGCCCCTGTTACCTGTTACCCTGATGCCCCTGTTACCTGTTACCCTGATGCGCCTGTTACCCTGATGCCCCTGTTACCCTGATGCCCCTGTTACCTGTTACCCTGATGCCCCTGTTACCTGTTACCCTGATGCCCCTGTTACCTGTTACCCTGATGCCCCTGTTACCCTGATGCCCCTGTTACCTGTTACCCTGATGCGCCTGTTACTCTGATGCCCCTGTTACCCTGATGCCCCTGTTACCTGTTTCCCTGATGCCCCTGTTACCTATTACCCCTGATGCCCCTGTTACCCTGATGCCCCTGTTACCTGTTACCCTGATGCCCCTGTTACCCTGATGCCGTGTTACCCTGATGCCCCTGTTACCCTGATGCCCCTGTTACCCTGATGCCCCTGTTACCCTGATGCCCCTGTTACCCTGATGCCCCTGTTACCCTGATGCCCCTGTTACCCTGATGCCCCTGTTACCCTGATGCCCCTGTTACCAATATTATTCCGGAATATTGCACATATTTCATTAAAATATTTATTGCAAAGCGATCAAGTAAATAATTAAATTCAAAAATAGAAGGAGATTTGATTTGATTTTGAAAGACAGAGTATAAGTAGCATTTAAAAAAAATATTCAAATTTTCAAAGGGAGTGGCAGTCATGAAAAATAATTTGCTAATAAAATCCCCAAATAAATAATAATTCGTACCAATAGTTTAATTAAGAATTATTGTAAAAAAGTAGCGAAGCAACGTTTCCCTTTCTTTAATAGAGTAGAAAAAATATTATTTTGTAATTGTGTAATTTTGTAAAGTGCAATTCTGTGTATTTGTTCACAAATCTATTATACAAAAACTTCTGGAATCCCTGCCTTAAATTGGTAAATATTTTAAATTTATCATTAACAAAAGGCCAGAGAGTGATCGTATAGGACTTTGCTGATAGACGTCTTTGATATTTTTATATAATAAGACAATTAATTAATTAGAACACATTTAAGCTACTCACGCAAAGTGAATTTCAGCGGAAACGTTGCCAATAGCCAGGGCCGTGTTTACTGAGTAAGCCTTCCTGTGTTTCTGTAGAAGTTCCTGGTAAGTCTGCGGGAAAGCCTCTATGAGAAGCCCCGTCCAGTTGCGGTTTCTCTCGAAAAACAAAGTGTTGCTAAGGAACTCTCCGTCCACGGCGCCAACCTCCACGAAGAATCCACCTGTCTGTACAACAACAGTATTAGTTACGGGCTCCTGACAGCTGAGTGGACAGCGCTTCCGATTCGTAGTCCTGAGGTTCCGGGTTCGATCCCCGGTAGAGGCGGACACAAATGGACAAAATGTTTCTTTCACCGTGATGCCCCTGTTACCTAGTGGTAAATAGGTACCTGGGAGTTAGACAGCTGCTACGGGCTGCTTCCTGGGGGTGTGTAACAAAAAGGAGGCCTGGTCGAGGACCGGGCCGCGAGGACGCTAAGCCCCGAAATCATCTCAAGGACTACAGCACAAAATCCAGCATTTTCAGATTTAAGAGCTCAGGTTACAGGTACTAATACAGTATGATGCTAAACATTGTCATAAATTCTAGTTACAGGTATAGGGAGATACTAAACACTGTCAATGTTTTAGTTATAAGGGAAGTGGTATGTTAAGTACTGTCATAACATTAGTTACCTGTACAGTATGATGCTAAACACTTCAATAATAATTGTTACATTTATAAAGGGATACCAAACACAGTCAGATGAGACACACCTTCCCCCATTTAAACCACCAAGGCTACAAATGGTACCCCAGTTACATTAATAGAGGAGCCACTTATGACGCGTCTTACGTATATAGAGTGGGATAAAAAATAAGTGTCGGGAACGACCTCTTCCTTGTCCGGACTGCGTGCCTGAAATCTCTGCCGTCCGGGAACACGGGCTCCTGCCCAGCACTCCACACAAATACCTCACAAACAAGTAAGGTTGTCTCTTTGGGGAGTCTTCTTAAGCTGCCACATGCCTGTGGTGCTAGGCTACATTCTCCTACTCAAATCTTACCAGTTAAATGAATACCCTGGCCTTATCTTACGTAGTTATGGTCACTGTAGGAATGGACGTCACTGAGGCAACACCTGATCTTATCACTCAGGACCTGGACACCTGATCTTATCACTCAGGACCTGGACACCTGATCTTATCACTCAGGACCTGGACACACAACCAGGCGTCTCTCCGCACTCGACAGTGACAAGTATCTCACTCTCAAAAGGTTATTTCACACCATTGTAAGAAATTTGGTTTCCACAGATGGTGTGTATGTGTTATTTGTTCAACTCTGGTTGCTAGGCAAGTAATCAGATAGAACATGGAGAACGGAAATACGCCAATATAAAAAATATTAAATTTTATGATTAAATAAACTCTGTATATGTGGGAATTACAACCCCCCCCCCAAAAAAAAAAAAAAAGTTGCAACTAACTCTTTAATCCAGGCCATGTCCCGCAACACTGAGCTCCACTCTTCCATCCTCTCACTAATTCTGGGTGTTATACTACTCACACACTTGCAGCTAAACACTTAAGCCTACCCTACAGGCGACCAGACATCAGAGTCAATAATTCTCGCCTTTGTAGTCTCCGTGGTGTAGTGATAAGACACTCGCCTGGCGTTCCGCGAGCGCTATGTCATGGGTTCATATCCTTGCCGGGGAGGATTTACTGGGCGCAAATCCTTAACTGTAGCTTCTGTTTAACGCAACAGTAAAATGTGTACTTGGTTGTAACAACGATTCTTCGCGGCGGGGATCGTATTCCAGGGACCGTAGGATTAAGAACTTGCCCGAAACGCTACGCGTACTAGTGGCTGTACAAGAATGTAACAACTCTTGTATATATCTAAAAAAAAAAGTGTACAGTGGCCCTTCACACAGGCTCACTAGCTTCAGCTACCACACCACATTGCTCACTCTCCCTAAATAATTGGCTGCAACATTCTCGGACGCTCCGCGGCCTCACTTCTTATTGATTTTTTTTTTTTTGAGATATATACAAGAGTTGTTACATTCTTGTACAGCCACTAGTACGCGTAGCGTGTCGGGCAGGTCCCTGGAATACGATCCCCGCCGCGAAGAATCGTTGTTACAACCAAGTACACATTTTACTGTTGCGTTAAACAGAGGCTACAGTTAAGGAATTGCGCCCAGTAAATCCTCCCCGGCCAGGATACGAACCCATGACAAAGCGCTCGCGGAACGCAAGGCGAGTGTCTTACCACTACACCACGGAAACTGTAACCACAGAGAAGTAGGCGTTCCACAATCTTTACTCCATCGCTGTCTCTTATAGACTGCAGAACCACTCAGGCAGCAAAACTTCACTTGGTCTTCACTGCTGATCTTACTGTTGTCACTGCTGGCAACATTAGCATCAGAAACCTCACACAGATACAGGAGGCTGCTAAGAAAACCGACCCCCCCCCCTGTTACAATTAATCTTTCTGCTCAGCCATTACGTTTAAATTGTTGGCCCTGAACCAGTAATAAACTTTTGACTTTCACTCCTCTTCCGACTAGTTACGTGTGCTTACCAATTTCTTCCACATAGATTTACCAGGTGGCTCCGTTCGTACACCGTCGTCTGTCAACCTGTTGACAGACACGCAAAATTACCAGAACATTCAGAGCTGATATAAGTTACGACCTCCCAGTCCGAATTCCTTTGATATATTGATATCTCGCTGGGCTGCGGTGCATCATTCCGGTGCCAATGTGACCAAAGTCTCTCCCCTGTTGCAACCAACCAATTATCTGCCCTTATCACATCCGGTATATTTGGAGGCCTCGCATGACTTCGTTAGTGCCAAACTCGCTCTCTTGTAATGACTTTTCCCCAACCGCCATGTCGGATATTGGTGACTGGGCTTTCCACCCAAATTCGTTTTTTCAACCTTAATCAGAATCAAAATCTAGGCATTCTGCCACATCGCAAATTTAACTAAACAATCCTTGAGCAAATCTTCCATATATACAAGTGGGTTAGAAGACTCCTGACAGGCGGAAGAGGTTTGCTCCGGAGACAGGAACCATAACACAAAATATTAGTTACGGGGTGATCTAAACACTGTCATACCATTAGTTACAGGTACAGTATAGCGCAAGGCACTGCTATAGCATTAGTTACAGGTATGGTATGGGGCAAATCACTGTCACACAGGTACAGTGTAATGATCAACACTCAGGGACTAGCTGCCGGGGCCATTGCTAGTTGGCCGCACACGGATTTGTTCCCTGGAAATCGCAAGCTTCTGAGCACCCATCAGCTCAAATCATCGCGGTTTTGTGAGGAAGAACACATCAATACACCAAGACCAAGAGAATATCTTGTTTGGAAGGAAACAATACCGGTTTCGTCTACAATTGATTGACAAACAACGTTGTTGATTAACTGCTGTCCAGCTGACTGATATTCTGCACAATCCAGTACGCAGGCGACCCAAACTGTCGTACCGCACACTTCACCCATGACAGTTTTTTTGGTGAGAATCGTATCACTGACCAGGTCACTGACAGTTCTACCCTGAAGGGCGAGGAGATACCCTGTGGGCATCGTCACAAGGGGGCACCATAGAAGGTGTACTGAGCCTAACAGGGAAAGTTAGACCAAACTGCTCAATTAGGTGTTAGGTATCCCTGATTCCACCTGAAAGAATCATTTTACGACCTCCGTTGGAAAGGAATGAATTTCTCCAGGCCTAGGAGTGTCTCAGGCATTAGGTAGGGCAGTGAATCGGTCCTCACTACGTGGAGAGTTATGGGGAAGTCAAAGAGAAAGAAGGAATGGGAACAGCTTTCAGACGACGAGGGACGGTGGACCGAGGTGCAGCAGGCACCGAAGAAAACTGCTATCGAGGCTTCACCACTTGCTTCTACCAGCAAGACAGCAGACATAATGGACCTAGAGAGGACAGCACCAGTCACACACCAGTCAGTGTCAGACAATGCTTCTCTGTCCACAACCCAGCCACAAGACGACAGTATGAGACAGGAGAGGACACCACCAGTCACACACCAGCCAGTGTCAGACAATGCTTCTCTGTCCACAACCCAGCCACAAGACGACAGTATGAGACAGGAGAGGACACCACCAGTCACACACCAGCCAGTGTCAGACAATGCTTCTCTGTCCACAACCCAGTCACAAGACGACAGTATGAGACAGGAGAGGACACCACCAGTCACACACCAGACATCGCCAGACTCTGCACATCTTCCAAAATTCAAGATAATGCAGACAGACCACTTTCCTACAGCATATGGAGTAGTAACGGCAATGGAAAAAGAACAACCAGAGCTCAAACTTTCCATCATAGTCAACCTGAAAGGAGAAATAATAATGACACCACAAGACCAACAGACTGCAAATTACTTAGAAAAAGTAAGAGTCCTGCAAGGGAAACCTGTATGCTTGGAAAAGCTGGACCCTTCAGAAAGACGCACACGAGTCGTGCTTTTGGGATACCCAATCAACTTTCCCCTGGATCCAGTACTAGAACACAACCAAATCCTGAATGCGGAACGATGCCGCACAAAAGTAGACAAGGCAGCGACACGTCAGGTTCTGGTGACCGTCATGGGACATGTGCCAGAAACATTCAGTCTTGGAAATTGGGGAACATACTGACAGAGACCATACGTCCCGGAACCCCTACGTTGCTTTAGGTGTCAGAAATACGGCCACCATCAATCACGCTGCACAGGACAGGAGAGATGCGGAGTGTGCAGCCTGAGACATCCCACCAAAGACTGTATAGCCAAGCACAAGGCAAACCAGACCACAACAGCCAAATGTCCAAATTGTGAAGCCAAACATCATGCCTGGAGCACAACCTGCTCTGTGCGGAAAGAAAAAGTGCAGACAGCTCAGGCCAGGATAAACACACAGACCAGCACCACACACACCAACACCAACGTCTGGAACACTCGTGCACAGCCACAACACACACACTCTCACAGAACAAAATTTCCCGAATCTATCAATTCCAAATTTGAAAATACACAAAAATGCTGCAGAAATACAACAAAAGCAAAGAAGCAAAAAGCAATCACTTTCGGAAACAACACAACAAATTTAAAGTTTTACCGAGGTCCAGCTGTAAAACATTGTGAAGATCATGGCAGAGACCATTACCTGCGTCTACAGATGACGCAGAACGCCTCACATCAACAGACTCAAGAAGTCACTTGTGTGATAATGGACAAGATCGTGCAGCAGACCACAGTTACACAAGAAATAAACAGTCTGAGACAAGACGGAGCACAAGAGGACAAACAACGCAACATGGACATACAGACTACCAACAACAGACGGGTAGTCAAGACACCAGAACATCAACATTTACAAAAGCAACTGCAAGAAGCAGTGACCACCCAAGATCAACAGAATCTTACAACACAAGAGACAGACAACAACAGCCAATGCAGTCTGATATGCAACAACACCAACAAACAAGTATTGAACAGCACAGATGCACAGGTTCCAACAACACAAGAGACAGGCGTGAACAATCAATGCAGCCAGGATTGCACGCAGCAACATCAACAACGAAATACTGGATGGCAAAGATGCACAGGTTCCAACAACACAAGAAAGGGCCACGAACAATCAATGCAGTCCGACATGCAGCAATACCAACAACAAAGTGATGAACCACAGTTATGCACAGATTCCAACAATGCCGGGGATGACCATGAACAATCAGTGCAGTCCGACACGACTTGCGAGGTGGAGAATATAGAGGTCGATTCCGAAGAGGAGTTCTGGTAGAACAGGCAATACCAACCGAAACTGTCGTCTGGCCATTACGAATACTGCAGTGGAACATACAAGGTCTTGGAAATAAAAACCACACTCTTCAGGAGGCTGCAATCAGCACGAAAGCAGATATAACCTTTTTTTGAAGATACTCTTTTCCCAGCCACGAAATCCTTCAGATTAGCTGGATATCAGCACTATGTTATACCGTATGAGCAGGGGAAGACAAAGAGGGTTAATGACCCTAGTCAGGAACACTATACCCAGCAAGAAAATAGATCCAGTTTCATGTGGGGATGGAGTAGAGGTATTAGCAGTAACAGTGAATATGGCTAATATTGAGCTCCTCATATACAACGTCTACAAGCCCCCTAGACGTAAACAAGAAGCAGAGGCAGTGCTTGCCTTGGCCTCACAGGAAAATGTAATTATTGCTGGGAATTTTAATGATTATCCCTAAGAGTTAGGTGCAACTGGGACAGCCAATGCAGATGGGCGCCATTTAGCTGCAGCTCTGCGAGAAGTACCTGAAAGTACACTTCTTAACACTGGGGAACCCACTCACATTCAAGGAGGTTCCCTTGATCTTACATTAATCTCAACAGCACTCAAGCATCAGGCGAAGTGGGAAGTAGACCCGGTGATCACCAGTGACCACTATGCTACTGTCATAACACAATAAACTTAGAACGACCTCCTACACCACCTGCACAACCTAGGTGGAATTTAAAAAAGGCCCACTGGAATATATACCAAGAGGAACTTGAAAAATGGTATGCAACATACACGCCACCTGAGGATTTGAACATACACTAGACGAATCTCCAGGAAGCCATTGCAGCTGCTGCAAACAAAGCTATTCCAATCATTATCACAGGTAACACAAAACGAGTGTCATGTTCATAGCAACCACACCATCCGTTTGTATGCGCTGCGTTTCATACACCAGAGAGTATGTAAACAACTGGGTGCGTGCAGGACGCCCACCAAGCTTGGACGCATCGCTCCTGGTTCAACCTTGACGACGAGCGGACGTCTGGACACCTCTGCCTGGGAGCTGCCGGATCACGTTCTGTTTTCGCGTTTTGGATTTGATACTGCCGTTTGTCATCCCTATTCAACGGTCCGGTTGTACGACGCCTGGCGCACATATCGCCTTGGGTCACGGGATTGTTGATATAATTTTTTTTTTTTACGTGTTATGAATGGTTCTCCCGGCGGAGTGACGTTGTCCGGCGCCGGCTTGGCCCTAGAGGCGCCAGGGGTTGGCCGGTATTGGTGGGCGCCAGGGGTTGGCCGGTATTGGTGGGCGCCAGGGGTTGGCCGGTATTGGTGGGCGCCAGGGGTTGGCCGGTATTGGTGGGCGCCAGGGGTTGGCCGGTATTGGTGGGCGCCAGGGGTTGGCCGGTATTGGTGGGCGCCAGGAGAACCCTCAGTCGTGGTGGGCGCCAGGAGAACCCTCAGTCGTGGTGGGCGGCTGGCTGCTGCTCTGCCTGGGGCACAGGATGACTTTTGCGTTTTAGCTGGGGGCCGAGATTTTGGTTTTGCTGTGTGTTCTCTGTGTGGGGGCGGGGCCGGTGCTTGTCACTCTGAGGGACTCCTGGGGCTCCTCAATCATCTGCCTGTCTGCGTTTCTTTTCCGCAAGGCATATTAGTTTCCGGTGATTGCCGTCACTCGTTTCACGATTAGGCTTGGTCTTTCACCTTCCCGGGCTTCACGATTAATCCTTCATGGGTACGTCAGGGTGCATCCGATCCCACAATCGTCGTCGCCTTTAAATCAACAACAACAACACGCTTGGACGCTGCTAGTCATGTAAAGTTATATGTATAAGTCAGTAACCAATCAATGGCTTTATATCAACCCTGCAACCAAGACTTCCTCAGCAACACACAACACCTCACTGGCGACGAGGATGAACAGTGAACACAGGTATTCGTCCAGCTCTAAACACAAGAGAGAAACTTGCTGTCTCGCCCCCGGAGGAGGAGAAACCGTGCTGTCTGTGAACACCATACCAATGCTGTGTGCAGACCAAGCTGTGTTCTAACCATGATGCATAGTACTGGTAAACTGTGTGCTGGGGAA